CCCAGTTCCACCCTGACCCGGCGTGATAGTGTCAGTCAGGGTCCCTGCTATGGGCAAATACTTAACTCCCCAAAATGGGTCAAAACACTATGAAAGTAAAAAAATAAATTTTAATATCAGCAATAAATTTTTGAAAAAATTATTACCAACAATATATTTTAGAAAAAATCATATTACCAGCAATAAAAATCTTGTCGGCGTTAAATAACCCATTGAGGTTGATATACCGTAAAACAAACCAAACCAAACCAAACCAAACCATCTTTTTTATTGTCCTCTTCAACCCATTTGTATCCTCTTTATCATTTTCATGCTATCTTCCAATAGGTTTAATTTCATGTTGTCTTTACCAGGATTTTTTTTTAAAGATTTTTCACAAAAGATCGCCAGTTTCTAAAATAAATAGAAATTCAGCTAAATTTATGTATTTCAGAATGCCGAATTTTTCAGTTTGGTAAACTTGATATTTTTCAGGTAGTGGAACCCAAAATTAAGTTTCTATCTATCCCTTGCCAGGATGGATTCAGAAAATTTGAAAATATTAAAATTTAAATATGATTAAAATATTAAAATATTACTGTCCAATCATCACTATTATTTTATTATCATTTTTATTATTCCCATCATCATCATAATCGCCATTCTCAACCATCACAGCCATCATCACTATTACAGCTACAATCACCATTACTAATATTCTCATCGCCAACATTACCAACACCCAAGGGCATTGGTATAAAATGAACGCAACAGACTCAGTTAGAATTTGAAACTGGTTCGTCGATTCCACTTTGAGGGCCTATAACCGTCACATCATACAAACCATCTATTCTTTTTTATCTTACCAATCTTTGTTTCTGTAAATTCTTTCATTGGGTGCCTACCATTGCTCAATGGATAGCAAATTGCGATCAGAAAAGAAGAGCGATGACTATAGTAAATTTAAAGTAAACATTCCTAAAATTAGATTACGGAGAATATTTTCCAACATTTCTAAAATTATGATTACTTAAAAATTATATATAAAAAAAGGCTCACCCATCATTTTATTAAATTATGTTTTAACAAATAAAGTTTCTGTAGAACAACAATAAACATTTCAACACCTTACCAGCACTTGTCATCTCTCATTAATTACGTAAGAATGACTGCTGTCGGTTAAAAATCATCGCTACTGTTTGTTTTAAAAGTTCATTTCTCTGTTATTTTAAACTTAAATAAAAGTAAATAATGTTTTTCAAATCAAATTAATTATACGTTAAATCAGCTAATATTCCTCAAATAAAGTTTCAGAAAAGTATATTTTATTTTTGGAAGATTTTTAACACGGAGAACTGCATTGTGATGAAAGACTACTAAAAAAGGGCACTAATTAGCTATTTTAGAAAAAAAATGGTTCCAATCAGTATAATTTCTGTTTGAAATACACCAGAGTATTTTGCTTACTGGAAATAGTAAATTTAATCCTTTAGCTGTCGATTAAAGCTAAAATGAAAGCTGAAAGTTTTTCATTTACAAAAAATTCATTTTTAAGTAAGGTATCGAAAATTAGTGGAGGTACTTACACGTATTAACACAAAGAATTACATGTGACGAAAAGAAAAAAAAACTAGCTATGATAAGAATGTGCTTATGTGTGTGTGCGCGCGTGTGTGTGTTCATGTGTGATTCTGTGCGTGTAAAAAGTGTGTGTGAAAGAGTACAAAGTCAAGAGAGAAAACCAGAAAAATGTTCGTGCACCAATGGGGGACACTTTACGGCTACATCTGAAAGCCAGAGCTAAAAAGCTATAAAAGAGAGGCTAGGGAGAGAAATGCATACTTTTTCATAGGCTTAAAGAGCGCCCCCTAACGACGGTTTTTTTGGCAAATTCAAGTGGGATAACCCACAGCTATAAACGTTATTTTTTAGTACATCTGTTTTTTTTTTTTTGTTAATTTCTAAAACAGTGAAATTAATAACAACTGACATAGATTGAGAAGTCTTACTAAAGAAAAATTCTGCCTTTGATAGGAATTGAACCTGCATCCTTTTCTTTATTTTTAACTCAGGTAACCACTTCTGAAGTCGAAGGGTGCTTCTACCATTTCGGCTACGGAGCTAACAATATAAGAATAACATAAGGCGTATTTTACGCGGTGAAGCTTCTACGAATCTATACCTGGTAGCTTCAGTTTCGTACTCAAACCTAAACAACATTATTTTTTAGAAGGATTTTTTTTATTCTACGTTAATTTTATTTTTTAATAAAATAAAAACAAAACAAAAATATAAAAAAAAAAAATAAAATAACGGGTAAAACTCAAACACGTGTAATCATAACGTTTATATATAATGTCGGATAAAAAAAAAATCCTTTCAAAAAATTACTCATTCTTTTTGTTGCCTGTTTTTTTCTCTTTCTCAAAAAAACAACCCCCCAAAACAAAACAAAACAAAAAAAACAAAAACAAAAAAACACCCCGCCCCCAAAAAATGCAAAAAAAACAAAAAAAAAACATTCCTACCTTCTTTTACATTCCAACGTTTCTTTTCCTTTCAATTCCTTATCTTTAAGTGAGAATTATTTTTATCTCCACGTCAAACATCTGGCATATCCAATCCTCAGCCAGTTGAAGAGTGCTTACTTTCTTTCTTTCGTTCTTTCTTTGGCCATATCACCTTTGTTCATTCATAATGTACATTGGTCACTGTCCAGCTGGGTCGTTCTTTCCTGGTTTAAATTCAAACGCTTTCACTCATCTTGCACATTTGCAACGAAAACACGAGCGAAGTAGCAGGTGATGGCCAATTTGTTAGAACTCTTTCAGTGTGAATCATGAGAACTACAGTTCAAGTCCTAGTGTGGAAGGAGATGAAACACATTCTTTAGAATTAACCCAAGAAAAATTCCTTAAAAGTTTGATTTTATTAGAACTGTCCTCAGCATCAGCAGAACAACTCCAAGAATATCAGGATGATGTGTATTAATACCCCTTGACCCCAAACACTTTTTATGCAGGTATTTTATTATTTATAACTTTTTTCGTATAAAAGTCATGTCGACATTTTAAAACAACTGAAGCATCAAAAACAAAAAAATTTAAATTTTGAATTACTTAATTTTTTCAATGGTACATGTGCATTTCCAGCCACACAGTAATTAGCAATTATAGTCGCAGTTTTCTTTTTTGAACGGAGCGAAATATAAGCTTTTATTAAGAGTTTCTGGTCTTTTAAATGTAGCCACTATATTGGTAATTGGCTGAGAGAAGTTTCACACACACGCAAACACACACACACACACACACACACACACACACACACACACACACACACACACACACACACACACACACACACACACACACACACTGTGACGAGGCCATCCAATCAAATTTACGTGTAAAGAGCATCACAACGTGAAGCAGAGGCTAAAAGAAGCGAGTGTCTAAAATGTGTGACCTCATCTCAGACTAAGCCAAATCAATATAAGGAGTCTATATTCCTCACCGTAGAGCAGTTGTTAGCATGTTAATCTGGTAGTCGAACACGGATTAGCAAGTTATTCGTTCAACCCATAACTCACCGGTTGCACTATTCTTGTGACCTTGTGCCAGCCTAAGCTAATATTAATAAATACTCATACACGGATAAACGTATAAACCTCACATAATTTCAGATATTATCAGTAATAAACAATCACACATAAACGCATTCCCATAAAGAAACATTCACAGAAACGCATTCAAAAAAGACACATTCACATGTTGACGCATTCACATATGGAAACATTTTCATATAGGCAATTATCTGGAGGTGTAGAAAATATTAAAAATCAAGCAGATTTTACAAGCACTAGTATGAGAGTGACATTTATATAACAAGGAAATTGCTTTTTTTTTAGTTTTTGTATTGCCGAAGCAAGTACAAATGATTTTCTAAGCGTAGCTTAGATGTGGCACAGGGCTGAAAGTGTGGAGCACCCAGTGAAGATCGAAATCACTACTAAATTGTAATTGATCTAGCGAGACAAGCTTGCTTTTTTTTGTTTATAACGTTTAGCACTTAATTTTCAAACAAGGAAATTAAAAACAAATCCAAGTATCCATTTATTTTACTATATAACTAATTTTTTGGTTTTAGCATGAACATTTTTGCAATCTTTTTCTTGTGAAATAAGAGAGAAGAGAGATAGATAGAGAGAGATAGAGAGAGATAGAGAGAGACGGTAAGGAAACATACGAGTTGCTTTTGATAGGATACAAATCAAGCGACCGTAGCTACAGTGTTCTTTTTGTTACACTTGAGCACCGAGAACTTCAAACTTATAGAAACGCTAGTCATTCTCTTTATTTTTCATTTACTGACCATCCTATAGCTAAGGTTTTTTTTTTCATTTGTTCGCTTACAATAAAGTGCTATCCAATATTGTATATAGCCAAATCTATATAGACCTTATCCTCTGAATATATATAATATTGTTTTTACTGGTAGAGTTAGCTTACTTATGTAAGTCGTTATATCACGACTACGATCTATTAAATAAAGTTATCAACACTTTCATTCACTTTAATGATTACACGCACAGTGGCACAACATATTCTGAAGCCAGGAAAGAAAAACAATAATTACGATTGTATTTTAGCCTTAATTGCTTCCTTGAATACAGTGTATATAAGAAATATATTGATTTTCCTTATCCCTGCCCACTTACTTTACCTTTACTCTATCTAATCTTCTGTAATAGCAAACTAAATATTTCTAGTTGTAGGAGAAAGAGATGATTAAGCAGGAATTTTGCATTGATGGATGTAAAATTTGATTTTTTCAGTTTCCGCACTCTGTGCGTGTTGTACATTGAAAATCAGAAATAAAGGTATTGTCATTGGTCAGACAAGTGTCACTGATGTAATATGGTTATTACGTGTATAATCTCTCTCTATATATATTTATGTGTAACTTTATGGAGAAGAGTAACGAGAAAAAAAAGAAGCATATAAATAGTTTCACTGCATGACTTACGGCCAGATCACGTTGAAACACCGGTTCTCGTACGATCACAGAAGTTAAGCAACGTTGATGCTGGTTAGTACCTAGATGGGTGACTGCTTAGGAATACCAGATGTTTTAAGTCTGGATGTGCGGATGGTGTAATGGATAATGTCTCGGAATTGTTAATCAGAGAGCCGAGTTCGTTATATTCAATTACGAGTAAATACCCTTGGTAAATGTATGAAATCCGTCTCTTCTACCCCCAGCTATGGATTAATTAGTAAAACTTGTATCACGAAAATTATTATTTTCTCCTCACCCTCCCAAAAAAAAATGTGTTGAAAATATTTAGATTTCGGCATTAAGTAATCCATAGTGGTCGATATCCCCCTAAACAAAAACAACCAACTAACAAGACGACACGAAGTGTAAATTTTCAAGCTTTGGACCATCATGATTGCTATTTCACATATATCAATTATCAAATTATGACCCGGACGCTATTGCTCAACTGGTGTAAATATTTCTTAAACCAGTTAATTCTTGCACGAATAGGGTACGGATAGGGTACGGTTTCGAGTACCGCTTGAAACTTATCATTTAATTCTCAACTGTTTACTGACGGCCGTTGACTACTAGTCTGAAAAATTATGATCAAAAGCAACGATAAATAAAACGAAAAGAAATACTAATCAAACATTAATAATACTTGGTCCTTGGTTGCGTCAAAATCTCTGTTATCATTCATTAATATCTGTTTGGTACTTTTAAAGTCACATATACATATGAGCTATACGTATATATATATCAGATATATAAGTGAGCAATTGTGCCGGGCTTATTTTTCTTATTGAATCCCATGAGAAAACTTAAATATATTGAGATACATAATCTTTGAATGTGGCACACGCATATTTCTGAAATAGTGAATATTAACATTTTTAAAAGAAAGCGTAAACATTTAAAAGTGTGAATATTAATAAAATATTGATGACACTCGACCTTTAATATAACGATTTACTAAGCGTAGCTTAGTTGTAGCACAAGGCCGAAAGTATGGAGCAACTTAGTGAGGATCTGAACTTACTTCTCATCAATTTAGCGAGACAAGCTTGCTAACCATTGCATCTTGTCAAAGTGCTGAGCTCGACATTTAATATATGAAAAAGTTACGTTAAACTACAAGGAAGTCATTAAATGTCTATTCTAATAATTTGCACCCGTTGTATATAAAATTTAAGGATCTGTAGTTTTGAAGTAAGATATTGACATTTTTACGCTGGGAGTGTTAAAATTTACTACACTGTCCAAGCGGTGTAAAAATCACTAAGTAAGAATTCGATGTTTAAAAATGAGAAACCGGTGGTTAAATCGTTTGACTAACTCTTGCTTCCTTACCAAGATGTAATCAACTTTTCTTTCTTTCTTTCTTTTACGCACACACAGACACACCCACCCACACGTGTTTCACATTGCATTTACTTTTACATTAAGTGGTTCGAGTTGATAGTTTTGATTAATGTGGTGGATTTTTACAATAGCCACTACCACCATAAATAATCCTTTTGATATTTTCCCCTATTTTTTCATATCTCTTTCCTTTTTATGTGCCGTGTCCCTTCAGGACGTAGGCGATCATGGCTCTCCACTTCCCCCTTATCCCTTGTAGCTCTCAATAAGTTTTGTCCCTTTGCGTTCTGTCATCCACTTACTTAAAACCCCGCTAGGTATGTCATGCGTTATTTTTTTTTGTCTCGCTTTTCCTCTATTCGACCTGTGAGTTTCAGAGTCTCCAAGCCCTCCTTTCTCATTACGTGTCCCAGAAATTTCAGCTGCCACTTCCTGATATTAAGTATAAGCTTCGTTTGTATCCTCTCTAAGACCTCATCGTTGCTCACACGCTCGGTCCATGATATCCTTAGCATCCTTCCGTAGGACCATACCTCCGCTGCCTCGGGTCTCGTCTTCATTTTGAGGAGACCGTAAAGGAGGACAGATGTCACGTAGCAGCTCAGTACTCTTTTCTTTGTTACTAAAGAAATCCCCCTGTCTCGTAATACTCTGCATTTTTTCCATGTCACCAGAGCTTAATCACTCCAAATCACAAATATCTGAAAGATAAGTTTTATAAAAGTTAATGGTGGAGGGGAGTCTAGTTCACGATTTAAATTCTTTTTTCATATATTATTATCGATTAAGAACTCTGGATTACGAATTTCAATTTTTTTGTTTTTACATTTTCAGACATAACGTATGAGCATTTTTATTTTTAGTGGGGATCAATTTTCAATGAATTTACATAGCAAACTATTAACCCCTATTGACTTTTACAAAAATTAATATTTTTTTTAGTTATTTGTAACATGAAGTGATATGTAACAAATTGAAATAAATATTTTTTGGTCGTAGTGTCTACTAGTGTACACCATCTGATACTGGAATAACGTTTACCATATAAGAATAACAAGTGAAATTACTTTTTGTAGAAACAATCGCATTTAAATATTCTTTGCTATACAAACACCGTGAATCTTAACTAAATTTTAAAAAAAATAGTAGTTAGAAAACTAGATTAGAATTTCGTTAACCGGGATAGTTGGGCATCTCTAGATTAACATTCTATTCTACTAAAATCGTTGTAAAACCGGGGAATGTTTTAATATGGTAGTGCAGCATTGCTGAACAAGAAGTTTGAAATTTCATCCTCAGTAGCGAACGATTAAAATTCTTGTTCACTGTAGAGAAGGAAAAATAAGGCACTGTCGATTCAATTCAGTTCAATGATTTCTTTTATTCTGATCTAAATATTTCTAGAATATTGTTTATTAAGCGTCTGACGAAGCAGTTCATTTGTTATAACATATGTACACTTTAGTTTATATTTACGACAGGTGATTTGCGTAGATGAATATTGTTACATCAAATACAGATTTTCAAGTTGGTGAAACTAGGCGATACACGCCCCATATAAATTTAACTGCTACCATCACCATCATAATCATCAGCAGCATCGACAAGAAAGGAGACTGTAGCCTGATTCATTTGGCCGCTGAGTATTTTTCTTTCACCATCAAAAAAGTTAACACGTGACCAACATGACGACCAATCGTTGGCTATTTTTATTTCGATCCTCCACATTCATTTTTCTCTTTCTGATTTGTACGATTGACGTTCAAGGAAAAAACAATACCGTTTCGAACGACTGCGACATCTACAGTTATATCGTATATCTATACACCCAGTGGAAATCGAATCATTGGCCAAGGGAAATATCTTCTCGCTGCGTCGGATACATCTTACTACAATGGGCCTACCAAATGAAAGGAGCACTGCACGGTAAGGGCAAAAAAAAAAATATTCCCATAAATATATAATTCAACAGTGAAGCTAGAATAAAACTAAATCGATTTACCAACTAATAACATACACTGATTAAATGGCCGCAATCTTTTGAGCGGCAGCGAAAGACTTTGGCGACCTTAAACTATTGTAAATTTATAAGTACCAAATTTTGCATGGCATTTTTCTATACTGGCCCTGTTGTTATCATTTTAATACTTAATTATTATATTTTGTAGCGGGTGTCCTTAATAATTGATTGATTCATTTTCTACAGTTTGTCAACTCATTGCAGGTTTGTCTATATTTCTGAGATGAGGTATTATGTACACTATTTACATTATTCGGACTATTGTCCTCATCTTTGTCGCCATATTTATTACAACGTTTCGGCCGTTGTACGCTCCGGCCTTCTTTAGGTGGTTGGAATGTCGAATTGAACCCTTTATTTCGCCTGCCTTATGTGAAGGGGTTATCAGAGAAAATACAAAGGATCTGCGGTCCATATAACATCAGGACAACCTTCAAAAGCTGGATGACACTTCGCAGATTTCTCTCCCGAGTAAGAGCCCCCCCCATAGAGGAGAACATGACTAAAGACTGTGTGTACTCTATCCAGTGTAGCTGCGGAAAGAAATATAAAGGGGAGACTGGCCGCACCCCCTTAAAGTAAGGCTTCAAGAACACCAGAAAGCTGTAACACGAGGGTAAGTGGAAAAATCAGGCGTAGCTGACCACATATGGAGAGATAAGGAAGATCACCGTCCTTTGTAGGATCAGATTGAGATCATAGACAAAGAACACCATTGGAAAATTCGTAAACTTAAGGAATCAGCGCATATGTTAGGCCACAAAAATTTGCTGAGCCGACTAAGCATAGAAATGAATACAATATGGGAACCAGTAATAAGGAGTGTCTGAGAAAAGTGATAATAACAACAAAAATTGCAATATGAGCTCTGGTAAAAACATGTATTGATAAAAGCAAAAAATTGCAATATGAGCACTGGTAAAAACTGAATGAAGACATTAGGTTTATAATACCCAGAAATTCATGCGCAGATGTCCTCAAGGACACATGGCACAGTGGATAAAGGAGTTAGTTAGATCCAGTGACAGGACCCAAAGAGTATGAGTTTCAATACCCGGTTAAGGCAGTGGAGAACTTGGAGAGGGGAATTAATAGGAGACAACTAATAACTGACATCGATTAAACATGGTACGTGGAACTAGAACAGTCTACCCCAGTGATAAAGGGTTCAGTTCGACATTCCAACCACCTTTGCAGGTTATTTAAAATCAGAAAATATTTTTAGATTGTAAGAATGTTCTTTTTGAGTTAATAATGATTTAGTAATACAAGTCTTACTAATTGACCAATAACTTGGAGGGAGACGAAGTCGATTCACACCTTCCCAAAATGTATTTGAGCGTAAGTGAATATAACGAACCTAATGTTAATTACAACTCGACTCTCCGATTAACCATTCCGAGCCATTATCCATTACACCACCCGCACATCCAAGCTTATAGCACTTGGTATTCCCAAGCGATCACCCATCTCGGTTCTGACTAGGCTCGACGTTGCTTAATTTCGGGGATTGTACCGGAGCCAGTGTTTCAACGCATCACCAGCCAGGTGAGTGATACCGTATTGTTAGTGAGGCATTTCAACTCAGGCGCCCCAGGCCATATGGAGCGAGCCTCCTGCTTCGTTAAACCGAGCCAATCAGACTATCTTGAACGGACACCCTCACTAACACCTGATATTATATTACGAGTTAGTGACAACGACT